CCAGTGCTTAGGTGACTGTAGCGCCGCCATGTAATGTAGTCTAACAGTCACATGGTGATTTCGCGGGAGGCTGACTGCCAGTTGACGCTATAAAAGAAAAGCATGCACCGTGGCTATCTAATGTCAAAGTCAAGGGAAGCTGATCGGTATCGATATGACTTAATTTAAAAAAGACGCGTGAGGTACTCAATTTTAAGCTTACTAACGCGGATAGTTATTTACAAACATTTCTTTGATTTCTTTAACTTTTGCGGTCTTTGCGCACGAACATGATATGACATGAAGAAGTAGAAACTGGGTTGCCAAAGCCGGTTATGGCTCATGTAGGCTAGCAATCAAATGTAATTGGGACATAGAATCTAGGACACTAGTTCATTTTCTCAAATTTTTTTTTGAATTTTTTTTTTTAATTTTATATGGAATTTTTCGTACATGTGTAAATAATACCACTACGTCTTACGGTAAAGTTATATAAAATAATTTCGTAATATTTTTAGCAACTGAATTAACATCCTACATTAGTTATATTTCAATTTTATATACTAAATATTATTAGGTCTTGGGTCAAACCTCTTATCTGTAAAAATATAAAATGTAAATAACATAAATTTTCGTACATCTATTCCAAATTCCTCTGAGCTTTTAGACTTTAATCTCAAGCAAACAATGCGTCACCAAGAATTCACCGAATTGTCGAAGCGAAATTGCTTTTTTCTAACGAATAAAATTAATAACAAAATCTAGTAAACAGCAAAATATGCAATTGATCTCAATGATCTCGAACGTTTTATGCAATATTTTTGTTTTTGTTTACATTTTATAATTATGCGTATTGCATGAGTAACGACGTAGAAATTGACTGCAGTGTAAACTTGAACTTTGTTAAGCTATTGATATATTTTTTACAATTAACCGACATATGTGATAATGTTGTTCAGCGAGTTCAATTAGTGCTATTGTACGCCTTATTATAAAAAATGTAATTATGGAATGTATTTCACTGGAATTTTTAAATCTAAATATAAAGCAGAGTTTTAATCGTAGAGTGCCATTTTCCGCAAAAAATTAATTTTAAAAGCTAGCCAAAGACGTTGCATGAACGTTCTCACAGCCGAAAACAAACTCGAAGGATGTTTATACCTTAATGAGAGGCTAACAGTGTGGGAAAACGTTTGGAAAATACTTATTTTATATTATCTTCTTTGCATAATTTAAACTGAATGTTAACTATCACTCACTATGTAAATTAAGAAAAATATAAGATACTCAACTTACATACGTGTGTAAGGATTTTAATGCACCTTTCGTAATTGTTAGAACTTATAGCACGAATTTGACAAACAATATATAATATATAAAATGCAAACTTTTGTTAACACGCACAGAAAAAATGCGCTTTGAAAACTTAACTGTATTTAACACCTGTAAATTGCGTACAGCCAACAAAAGTAAACAAATGACTTTCATTGCAGGGTGTTACAGATTTTTACATCATATTTTATAGCTACAAGGTCATAAGGCAATTTCTTAATACAAATTATAATGCTGATTAGTAGGGAACGCGTGTAGACATATTTAAACGAAGATTTTTTTTAATTTGTTTCCACTACTCAACGCATTTTACGAGAGCGCTTGTAAATATACCAATAATAACGAGTTTTGTACTTTGACACTGACTGCTATTCTTATCAGTAAATTTTTCGGACATTTGCATTTACGTCACAGCACATACATGTGTACTACATATAATCTAAATGTATGTATGTGTGTACATATTTATAAATTGAAGTGTGTACATAAATATTAAGTTCCGTTTAAATGATGATACGCTATGAGCCGGGAAGAGAGAGATTTCGGCGAATTGATTTTAATCACATTGATTGCTTTAAATTATAGTTAACGTTGAATTGAACGATTTTTCCCAGCCTATTCGAAGTACAATAATTGATTTTCATATTTAAAACTGCAAATTATGCATCAATAGGTCTAAAATATTACTCTTTATGACAGTCGGGAGACACAAATTCATTATTGGCTAAGCATTTCTTTTTCTTATTAAATGTATATGTGTGATTTAAATACATACCTATAATATATGATGCATAACAAATATTTCTTTAAATAAAGAGGCATGTTTTGACCTTAGTTCCCGGAGTTTATATTTTTAATTAAATATAAATCTTATCAGTCCGACGGTTATTTCCATTTTAGTAAAATTTGCAGGAAAATATTTGTTTATTTGAGAGAATTGTATTAAAAAAAATCTGAACTTTGTTTTAAAAAATGTCTGAGTTTTCAACGTATAGCAATAATGCACAGTTACTTTATATGCATATTATTTTACAGGGAACCAAAAAAACGGAAAAGTCGCTTAGGTGGGAAATATACTATGGATCATTTTGAACAGCTAAAAGACTACTGATCCATAAACCGTTTCGACCCAGCGAGTTTTAAGGCATAGTTTTTTCGGGATCATAACAATTTTATCGTCAGTTTTTAAGAAAAAAAAAACACCTATTTTGACTTATGCGATACAAATATGGGGCACGGCAAGCAATTCAAATATTGAAATAATAACAGCGCGTTCAATCAAAAACTCTCAGGTCAATTACAAAAGCTCCATGGTATGTTTCAAATCATACTATTCACAGAGATTTAAAAATATGCAAAGTGAAAGATGAAATAAAAAAGTTTAGTGAAAGATACAAAATCAGGTTAGAGATCCATCCTAATCATTTAGCAGTAGCATTACTACAGTCACACACTACAAAAAGGTTAAAAAGAAAAGACATTTTAAATTTGTAAACAACATGCGTGCTTAAAGCATATATAAATATATGTATGTATGTATGTATATACCTATGTATTTAAATATTCAAGCAGCTCTCTGCTGGTGACTTGAATGTATCTGTGACGTTTTCCTCCTTCCAAATATTAACTAGATAAGCTCAAACTAGCAGACGGGTCCCTGTTGTGTGCTTTTACTTATGAATACATATGCCTTTTTTAATGCAATACATATGAAGATTTTAGTAAGACAATTCAAAGTTCAAGCAACAGATTTGACAATAATATACATATACATATGTATGTATGTATGTATATATAATATATATGTATACTTTGCCAACAATTATGATGATATATGAACATTGGCAAGGGAATCAGCTCTTTCCGATGAATAAGAATAATGAAAACGTCGAAACCCCTATAAAGTATATACGTACATATATGTATATACATTTAAGATCCTCAGCTTTTGAGATAGCAATCTGAAATTTAACATACACAACCTCCGAACATATTGATCAACTTGGACCACTATAGCATAAAGTTCGCATACAAATTGACCCATCATAATCAAGGTATAAGAAATGCACCTGCGAAAGGTACTTTAACTTCGATGCAGATGAAGTTAATGTTTTTATTTCATTTATCTTTCTGGAACTAACATTTTTATTGCTAAAAACTTTTGTTTTAAATGGTAAAAATGCGTTTATTTTTTCAATATTTTCATTATTTATTTGTAAGCGGTAATATTTAATGGTATAACTTATTTTAACAGTGCAAAAAATACATAAATACTATATACATAGGTGTAATTCTATATGTAAAAGTACGCGTACAATCAATGTAACAATGTAATATCTACTTTTTCAGCTTTTTTTCTACTAGGCTTAATCCTCTTAAATAGTATTGCTTTGCAGTGTTCAACTCCTTAATTTTTTAATATTTTTTTCTATTTATTTAATATTAACTTATGTATACGTATGTATGTATGTGTTTACTTCTTTCACTTCTTATTTTTAAGCGTATGTATTAGCACTATATAACAGCGAGACATTTGGATGAAGCAGTTATGGTCTGCATAAGTTTCATGGAATACCTTAATAAATAATGAGTAAAATTGTGTATGCTTAATCTTAATACACAACAGAAATGCACAATATCATTAAGAAAATATTGGCATGACGTCGAAACTTATTTTATTTACATTTTTGTTGTTTGCAAACAAATCATCCAATTATAGCAGACATAAGGTGACTGAAATGTATAGTCAGCTGCGCTTTTACGGTAAGCCATTTGAATTCAAAGCGTGTTTACATATTGTTCATAGTTATGCATTTAACGGTTTTCCAGCTAGCGCTGCACGTACGCACATAACACGCCTACCAAACAAAATGTTTAAATCGTCTTTGTTTTAATTTTATTTTCTCGATATTTTTTTTACACCTGCATTAGCTTCGTAAGGCTTCGTAAGCCCAATTACGCTCGACAAAACTGCCCAGTCTCATTTCTGCATGTCTTTTGGGACAATTTTTTCGTTGCTGCATACACGCATCCATACACATACATACATATATGTGAATGCACGTAATATTTAGTACTTTTCATTTTCACGCACATAGGCATGTTTTCGCGTTGTCTCCTTTACGCAGTTACCTTTCGCATCACGTTCCAAACAATGCTTTTCATTACGTAGTATAAAACATTGTGATGGCACCATATTAAAGAAGAGCTGCCCGATGGTGTTCGACGGCTCGTCGTTGTTCATTTTCAGGCAGGCACGGAAACGTCGATCGCAACTGCAATGCGACAATGTGTATGGCCGATAGTTGAAAATTTCGTACCGATTACTGAATGCCGATATATAAACGGGACAATGATCATGCCGCCGGCAACATCTGTCCGCGTCTGAAGCGCCACCAAGCTGATTGTAATTGTTGTTGGCATTATTGCCACGCCCACACCAACGTGTATGCGGCGCTATGAGCCAATCATCGAAACCGCGTCGCTTGCGACTCAATATACTTTGTGCGTTGGTTAATTCTTTGCCGGTTTCAACGTTGTCGATTTCGGTGTCGTCGTCGCTGTCAAATGCATCGTACACATAGCTATTTTCATACGCGCGATCGGACCACGCCACCGCATGTGTTGGCACATTGCCAGCCACTACGTCATCGTTTTTATCGTATGATCCATGAGGTAATAATTGCCAATTAGCCGGCGCAGCAGCGATATCTTCGTCTGTATCGGTATACCATGCTGGTATTGGGACATTACTTGTGTCTGCTGATGCGGTCGTTTCACCTGCGCTTTGTTTTTCGTCCTTATTGCTGATCTGCCTTTGGTCTGCTGAATGTTGTGTATATAAATGCCGCTGAGATTGTTGCTTTTGTAACCTTTCCAATTGATTAAAGTTAAGTTCCTCATTCACTGGCAAATATGCTGACCATGTCTGTGAGCTCCAGCAGGACAACAACAAAAACACAGCGTATAGACACAGCTTATGATATTTTTGCATAATGTTTCACTTGTTTGAAATGTCTCTATTTATTACCACAAAAAATCGAAAATAGTGAACAAATATCTTTTTTCTGTTTAGTTCCTGTTCCGCTTGTTAAAATTAATGCTTTCGATATATGTATGTATGCATATATTTATGTACATGTATACACAATTTTTGTTTCCGATCAAAGGTTCTAGCACTTTCTAGCCGTATATGCGACTTTTAACAACACAAATGACACTGACTAAATGACTAGCCGCCCCTTGGCCAATCATACGTTTATATACCACTAGAACAAGTGTTGTTGGTGGGGCTCGTCGCGGACGGCAAAATTCGCTAATTTAATGAAGAGTATAGAGAAGTGAGGGTATACAATGTATGAGAACGAAAAACGTGAAGAGATACAGCGAAGCTGAACAAAAGAGTGGATGAGGATCCCTTTAGGAAAATTTCAGCAATTATGAAAAGCTTTTATTTTAATGATAGTTTTAGAATTACGTGACAATGTTAAGTAATTTCAACAAATGTTAACAATTTCCGCACTACAAAATTGGAATTTCCGGTTTTGAATAGGAACATTTCGAATGCACAGAGTATTTTGAAAACTAATTTAAAAAAATATAGAAAGACGGAATAATGTATTTTTTCTTGTGACAATTTTGACATCTACACATTTCTTGAATTAGAGAAGCTGTATATGCATCATGTTGTTTGCGATACCAATTTTAAACTTGGAAGACGTCTGTGCAGTTTATTTGGAGGAAATCATTCGACTTAAAACAAAACTTAGGAAGACCTGTCAATAGTCGGGCAACCATGGACAAAAAGCTAAAAAAAAAAAGAAAAAAGAGCTGGAGCTGGAGCAGTTTTCGGGTAAAATTTAGAATAGCATCCCCGGATTTCGAGGATAAAATGGGTGTCATTGGAAAGGTGACGTTCTCCAGGTCACGAAAATATATATATATATATATTTGCCGCTGACTTATAGTTTTAAAGATATTTGCGTTTAAAGTTAAAAAATTTACAACTTCTAAATTGATAATTTGTTTATTGTGAATAACTTTTTCVCTTATATTATGCACTTTTCACTTACTAACACTTCACTATAACGTTTTTGTATATAAATTTTTTTAATATTTATTGCAAATAAAGCTTTATTTCAATTATTTTGTTTTAGTTAAATATAATATATATATTTTCGTGATCTGGAGAACGTCACCTTTCCAGTGATACCCATTTTATCCTCGAAATCCGGGGATGCTATTGTAAATCCCAGCCCAGTTTTCTCCTGAGAGCCGAACGCCCGGTTTCGCACTCTTTAACTATTTAGTATCTATGAAAAACTGATTCGGCTTAATATTTTTTATAGCATACTCAATAACCTGACACTCTAGTCCACTGATAACCCATTAAAATGCAACCATGTCTTCATAAAAAAAATCGAGACCAGCAACTGTCAAAGTGGTGCACATAAGAAAATCGATAGGTACTCATAAACATTTCTTTAGGCCATTTACAGGTCTTTTATGTTTGCACTTTTTCGCAATTAATTTATTCACTCGCTAATGAAGTGCTAGTGTGTGTATTTTTTTTTAAACACTTTCTGTGTTTTTTCTAATGTAGCAAGATGCAAAATTTACAAACTAATACAGGTAGGCAGGCCAGACAGCAACAGCAGCAGCCCTATCAGCAGGGTCACTCACATCATCATCACCATTACACAGAGAACAACAAATCACCATCGTCTATACCGCCCAATTCGTTAGCGATCTCCAAGTCATATGTGTCCGCACCAGCTTCCACGACCTCGGACGACACCGACTTTCATGAATCGGATGCACGTTATGAATGTGCTATTTGTATACATTGGCTTAATGAACCCGTGATTACCACTTGCGGTCATCGATTTTGCAAATCTTGCATAACGAAATGGCTTGACAATCATAATCAGTGTCCATTAGACAATACCGAGCTTTCTATTGACCGTATTTTTCCGGATAATTTCACTAGACGTGAAATAGATCAAATCAAACACAAATGCCCCAACTCGCCATTGGGCTGTGCGGTAGTGGCATCGCCCATAGAAGTGGATCGACATCTGCCAACCTGTCCATACAGAAGACTAGAGAACGCTGAAGAAAAGTGCCCATTCGCCAGCATAAAATGCGACTTTGTTGGGCGTCCTGAAACCAATGCACTCGAAGAGCATCTCAAAGAAGACATGCCACACCATATGCAACTAATGCTGCAAGCTTTCCAACAAACAGCCATTTCCACTTGGAATCCACAAAAACCAACAACTGCGAGTGGTGCGAAAGTAAATGGTGTGCTACCACCGCCACCACCACAATATGCAAACGAAGCAGACGAGCAACTCATACAAACGATGTACCAGCGCATTGTAGTGCTGGAGCAACGTGTACGCGAGCAGGATGTAAAATTGGAAAATCTTGCAAAGCAATTGGCTAGTCGTCAACAAATTGACCCACGCTATAGTAACGGCACAATTGTATGGGAAATAACAAATTTTCGCAATGTTGTGGAGCAATTGCGTGCCGATGCCAATAATCTACTGTACTCACGAGATTTTTACACCTCCCCGCATGGCTATCGGTTTTGTGCACGTGTCAATATACAGCCTCGACATTTAAACTTACTTAGTTTACATGTGCATTTAATGCAATCGGAAAACGATTACCACTTGGATTGGCCATTTAATGGACGCATCAAACTATGCATGATACATCCAACAGATGCCAGTCTTTCCCAACATGATACAATTATGACAAAGCCCGAAGTGATGGCCTTTCATAAGCCTCGGGAGCACATAAGTACTCGTGGATTTGGTTTTGTGGAATATGCTAAGATAGGGGATGTCATGCATAAAGGCTTCTGTGACGATGACAAGCTGGTAATCAAAATACAAATTAATATAGTGTAAGCTTAGTGAGAGAATACTATGGCAAAGCAACAGTGTACACTACAAATTATGAGCGAAGTTTAATGCGGATCTGTAAAGCGACTGCACACTGAATGTATTAAAAATAGGATAAATAGAAGTTAATCATTTGAAAGTTACTCTTTACATTCCCCAGTTGCAGAACGATGCAAGCTTTATGGTGAATACATTTTTTTAAGTATTCAATATGGTAAACCACAAATGATTATTTATATTTTTTAAAAGAATATAATATTAAAAAAAAATTTCGGAGCTTAAACGCATTTAACAAGTATACAACTCATTTATTACATATACGAGTATAAAGTGAAAATTTAACAAAATCAAATATTTGTGACTCGCAATTATTTGGCACTATATACTTAAAAAAGTATGGCACGATCATAGTTAACCCACTAATTTGTATAAGCCAAAAATTATTTTGAAAAAATATATGTACGTAAATATTATAATGTATTTTACGTAAGAAGTTCATAAATTTTTGTGTATGATGTTGTGTTATTAATTATTAGGTAGTACATATGTCTTTCTATATTATATTTTATACTAATTTTTTTGTTGCAATTATTTAATGCATCCAGAAAATACTTATACATACATACTTATATAAATACGTACATAAAATACATAGTTGTAACACATTTTTAGACGGTATGTTGCCCTTTTTGGGTTTTTGTACGGCAACTTAAATCTAAATTATATACAAAAGCTAAAGTAGAAATGCAATACTGAACGTATTTTATGTACCATATTATGAAATATACATATGAATAAATATTAAAATTGTAAAAAAATATATATAAATTGAAACATATTTTAATTGTATTATTCTCGGGACAGTCGACCAAGTCACTTCACGAGCAGACGAAAAATATTTGGTTAATTAACTAATATACTGGGTATCGTGGAGATATTGTTTAGACTGATTTTACTTAATAAATAAAATGATTCCAATTGACCTTGCAGAATAATAATTAATGGGGGCCTAAAAAAATAATAACAATTTTATAATTTTACGCCTTTAACAAGTCAGCCTTTAGCATTGGGCACTTTTTTATATTAATGGAATTTTTTATTCAATGATTTACATACATATGTTCTAATTTAGCTAATCCTTATCCAAAGCAAATAAGTATATGGATTTTTTCCAGTTTGTGGTCGGATCGTAACTAATCAAACCATAATCAATTGCTAAAGCAACGTTTTCAGTATTTTCTACTTATTATAAGAGCATGTAATATCCGATATTAAAATACTTTTTAATATAATATTACTAAAACTATTACCTGAGATCCATTCCGGTTTCGATAAATATTAAAAAATTGTAGATGTACATATCAAAATTTGAATGCCTCTGTTGAATTAGTGTCTTTACCCAAAGAAATTAAACTTCCGAAATAGCTACATTTGGCGTTACAATTTCACAAATTTTATATGTTATTTATGGTACCAATTTTTAACACGGGTAATACTTTCCATTTTGATAATATTTAAATGGTTTATAAATATTAAATCATTGTTTTAGATAAGAAAAAAGAAAAATACGCGCACTTAAAAAATTTAACCCGCGAAGTGTCAAATGGAACAGAAGAAGTAGTGTTGTGAAGCGTGTTAAATCATAAAAATTAAATGTTTCTATTGATTAGGCGGTCTTACATTTAACTTAAACTAAATATATACGCATATTATAAAAAACAATTCAATACCAAATATAAAAAATAATGAGGAAAATAATGGTGTAATTAAACAGATTTAGATATATGATACGTTATTGTCAATACCAAAACAAAGATGTACACACCCCACGCACAACACTACAAAAATAACTCTACTCTATATTTTTGACAATACCCACCGGAATCGAAAAGAAAACTCGGAAGTAGGTGTCGGTAGAATGCTTGCACTGGTTTTACGTTTTATTTGCTGAAGCACGTTACTCAAACACCAAGAAATATTAGCGTATTTTTGGTTGTAATAAAATCAGATACTCTTATTATATAAATAAGTTATCGATATGTACAGAATCCCATATAAATATGTATATAGATACATATGTATGTATATGCATGTATGCATGAATACGAATATTTGTTTCATAGAGCGCTTAAATTGTTGACTAAAATAACGAATTTTATAAATGAAAGTTTAACTAACACATATACAAGAGTAATGGAATTAGAAGATTCATAAATCATTAATAAATAAAGGTCTGTTGGTTATGCCCTTTGTTGTGAAATGTGTGCGAAATCGAAAATATCATATGTATGTTTATCAGTATACTTGCAAATATTTGCTTTTATAGGCCTTAAATTGTTGACAAAAATCACGAA